CGTTCAGAGAGTCGAGTTTGATTACGTGCTCATTCAGTCCCAGTTCAGCTGGCCTTGGTGAGCTCCCATTAGATCAGTCCCACCGTCTGACAAGGAGACTTCTTATTAGTTATGAGCACTCAGCCATAGGTTATGCTTGTTTCTAGCTAGCTCTAACCTGTTTCTCATTATCTACATTTTGCCTCAGGGCTTTGCCTTTGTTGCATTCTGTGTGTCCTGTTTTCCTGCTTCTTCCACGTCTGGCTGGCTGGCAGCTGCCTGGCTGGCTGGTCTCGGGCATCTCTTCCTTTTTCTCTCTTTTTCCTCGAGCCTAGATTCCTCCTACTTGTTCTCTCTGCTGCCAACCCTGCCTATTTTCTCCTCTGCCTAGCTCTTGACTGTTGAGCTTTTTATTAGACCAATCAGGTGGGTTAGGTGGGCAAAGCAACACAGCTTTACACCGTTAAACAAATGTAACACACCTTTACATAGTTAAAGTAATATTCTGTAACATAAACAAATGTAACACACCTTTACACAGTTACAGTAACACACCTTTACATAGTTAAAGTAATATTCTGTAACAAACAAATGCAACACACCTTTACATAGTTAAAGTAATATTCCATAACATAAACAAATGCAACACACCTTACATAGTTAAAGTAATATTTCACAACAGAGATTGAATATTAGAGAAAGGGAGTCTAGACAGGAATACAGGGCACTGACCGGAAAAAAAAGGATTTCTGAGTTAAGAGGGTTTGAGGAGTGATACAGGATATTTTGGCATGGTGATAGATTGAGGGCAGTTACACATTTTACAAATCTAAAAATCCCACATAAAAATCTAGATTCCAGACTTTGTTCATAAAGAAAATACCTGGCATTGAGCAGTCTACTTTTATTTTAGGTGTTTATATCTTGCAGTGTGCCCTGATTTTTTATCATTTCTTATATATCACCATGCTACACATGCTTGACCCCTTTAGCATTTGAATTTAGGAGTTTTTGGTATTGTACTATGTTAGTCTTTCTCTCACTTTATGGTAACCAGGACACAGAGGAAGGTGTGGAGTCCAGTACCCACTTCTGCCACATTATACCAGTGATTTTATTCCCACGAGATGCCACCTCTCAAAGGTTCCATACTTCCCAAATTTTCATGGCTAGGGACCAAATCTGTAACAGATGGCCTTTGGGGGTTCATATTTGTTTTTGATGAATGTTTAGCCTGCATGTATATAAGTGCATGCAGTGTCCGCAAGGCCAGAACAGAGACCAACACCCTTGGAACTGGTGTTAGACAGTAGCGAGATGCTTCATGGGTACTGGGAACCAAACCTGGGTTCTCTACAGAAGCAAGCCTTCATCACTGATCCATCTCTTCCCAGGCAGAGGAAGTTGTTGTTTGTTTTGTTTCATTTCATATTTTGAGACAGGGTTTCTCTGTGTAACAGCCTTAGCTATCCTGGAATTTACTTTGTAGACCAGGCTGGCCTTGAATTCAGAGATCCGCCTGCCTCTGTCTCCCGAGTGCTGGCTTTAAAGGCGTACACTTTAAGTAGAGAATGATCAGCTATTCTGAACTAGTGAAGCTGGACATGGATCTTCATGCTTTTAATCCCAGCACTTAAGAATTTGAGGTAAAACGATCTCAAGTTTGAGGGTAGCCTGGGCTAGGTATCAAGACTTTATCTCAGAAAAACAAACCAAAAAAGTATTAGAGCAAACAAGAATAAAGGCATATCACTAGATCTGAGAGTAGGAAGAAACTGGTGAGCTTGCTAATGAATGAATTAGAGGTAATGAGCACAGGCCATACTGGAAAGATTGCTTGTGGAGAAGGGAGTTTGCTTCTCTCTCTCTCTCTCTCTCTCTCTCTCTCTCTCTCTCTCTCTCTCT